CCAAAAGGACACGGCCATGAGTTTGACAAAAGGACATTTCAGGACAGAACAGAAGCTTTGGTGGCATAAACCCAACCCTTTGTTGGCTGTTTTGTTGCCAACTGCAATCTTAAAACCTCTGAGGTAGCTTGAAATGATCACAACTATGAACAGTGCAAGCCACAACTACTGTCTTTTTGTCCATCAAAGGCTGTTGCAACAGCAGCCTGCAGTCCACTGTCCCTGGCCTCTGGACATATATTCTTTTTAAAATAAGTTGGATGATAGCTGTCAATATATCCTCTCTCCCTGCAGGACTGTGATAAATTGGAAGCCTTTTCTTTATCAGCAGCATTACGGACGAACATCTGGCCTGCTGGCAGGAGGAAGATAAAGGATAAAGACATCAACAGGGGCTGAGGGGCCACGAGAGGCCAAAGGGGGCCTATGTGGGGCCTTGAAGGGCCACAACAAGGCCATAGAAGAAGCATATTTCCTGCAGGGAACAAAGGGTGGCCAGGAGAAAGATTAAGTGTATGGGTTCATCTTTGAAAGGGTCCACTGCATGCACACATCGCAACAGAACAAACTGAATAAGAAAACAATCCACATCTGAAATATTTTCAGGTATAAAATGTAATCTGTGCATTTGTTTCTCCCCGCAGGGTAACCGGACAGGATCTTCATGTACTCAAGTTCCAAAGAACATGTCAAGAAAGTAGAGCCACTTTTCTACACAAGTAAGAGCTGATTCACACAGCTAGTCAGTAACTTGTTTGTGGAGTTTCTCTCTCCCACGCTGAAAGGAACCATAGCACGGAAAAGGGGAAATGAGTAGGAGTAGAGTTCTTCTAAAGTACTGTGCAACGTAAACAAAAGCTTGAATATCTGAGCATCTATTGTGAGATGGTTTCTCATTCGGATTATTTCACCGAGCGTTGGTGACTACCCGTTGACTCACTGTGGCCTTTCACATCAGCAGAGAGGATGTGTGCCCCTATGACGCGTCCTCAACGGTGTCTGAAACAACATTTTCCGGAACAAGTGACATTTACCTGTAAAAACAGACTTCACAAGTTTGTGCAAGTGACAAAGTGGGATGGTGTTTCAGGGTAGAGTGAGAGGCAAGGTGTGGCAGCCAAAAACAACAAAAAAGGCATAAAATGTGGTGACTGCACTGCACCGACTTGCAACCGATGTGCTTTACTTGCCATCAGGGAAAAACAACCGTCAGTTGCTTCATTTGGCAAAAAAACTGGTATTTCCCACAAAGCAAAATGAACTGCCAGCAAAGCCTCCCACACAGGAGAGTTTGCCTAATAGCTAATAAAGGCCACAGCCCAAAGCCATTTGAACAATATCACCATGGGATGCAGTACGTGAAGGCTGTGAGAGAACGGACTCCTGCCAAAATGAATCATAGATACTCTACTGTACATCCCAAAGGGAGGGCATAAAGAAAGGCCAACCAACCTGCCTCCCCACCCCCAACTCTTTTAATCCTGCGTTTGAGAGCAGGAGGGTGTGTGAAGAATCCCCGATTCATTCTTACAGCAAGCTGGGCGTATCCATAAAGCCTCGGTGCTTTGAAGACAATCACAACATACACTAGAGTGAATTGACCCGAGGGTAAATAAGCCCCATGGCTGAAACACAATCCTGTTTATAAAGCTGAAATGAAATGAGAATCAATAAAACACCTAGCAAGCTCATTCTCACCACGGCGCCATTGTTTACAAAATCCAGACCCATTTAACATGATAGTGTGAGATAGTGTCAAGTGGCCTCTAACATCTGTTGCTCCCATGACCCATCAGCATAGCAATGTCTCACTCTCATGCCATGTGTACACTGATGTGGATACATTTAAATCTTTCCAGCACAGACAAGTACTCTCCAAAGTGGATTCCTTTTAAAATGTGCTGTTATAATATGGATAGTGATGCTTTTTAAAAATGTTAGTCTTCAGTTATAAAGCTACTAGCTTATGCATCCCCAAAAGACATTGTTTAAACACATTGTCACTATTTTGGTCTTTCTGTGAGGACAGCAGACAGTTAAAGCGAGATCGGAAAACACTAGTGTGGGTGGAGAAACAGCCTTTTCACATTATTCTGCAATCAGTGTGACCAAATGTTTCTTTAATCTCTATATAAATCAAAAACAGAAAAAAAACGAAATGTTGAAACTGTCGTCGCAGATGTTTTACTATAGAGCCACGGTGCATGTAACTACAGATGCACAAGGCTTTGCACCGCTGCATCCCCGAAATTAAACCTTCTTCAAGTGTTAACTCAGCCGAGAGGCCTGTGGAGTCACTCACATTCCTGCATTGATCAAACCCACTAGTCGGACATGAAAGCAAGACACACAGAGTACAAACTGATTAGCCTCTCTGACAAAGTTTCTACATCTGGAAAGAACCAAAATATGTGATACATTTCCAAGACATGGTTTATGTTCAGCTCAAGGTCTGGTGTGAGATCATAAATTGTTGCAGTGATGGTTGAAGGAAAATATATTTACTGAATCTGCAAATGACTGAAGAGGAACCGTCTATCTTAGGCTACAACAGAAATCAGATTTTTGTCTGTCGACACTGAGCGTGTCATCAGGATATTACTGAACTGCAAACACATTGCAGCGATCCTACGTTATTTAGAGTGGATTCAGCTGTAAATACTTGACTGCGATACCAGATAGCATTGAAATACTTAGATTATAAACAAATCCCTAAAAGGCAGGAGAAAGTTAAACAACGCCTCACAATGTACAGATTACACAGTGGATGACCAACTCCCTACCATGACGCCTTCCTTTCACAAACATGATAATATATACATTCATTATTTACACTCAACAGAGTTGGTGGCAATTGTTGGGTACAGCATGGGAGCTCAGTTCCAGGGCAAAGAAAAAAAAAGATTAATGAAGCAACAGACACCGTAAATCATTACAGCAATCTACATAAAGAGACACACTCAACATGACACAGAGGTGTCACGCGCTAGCTAAACCACGTCATCTTTTCCACATGTCTACATGCCTCCAGAGCAAACGTGGACCTCCTGAAATCACAGCACGGCTGATTCTCACAGTGATTCATTGCTTGGATAAGGTTGACTAAGCTTCCTCCGTTAATGTCTGACTACAGCATTTACAATCACATCTTTTGCCACATTTTCACAGAGCAAGACAGCTGATGATTATTTATAGAGCATTTTTTAATGATCCTATCTAGTGATAGCAAAGATCATAACATGCACCTGCATCCTGGATGAATCAATCATGTACAATTGGGTGGTAAGAAAATCGAAGTTTAAAAGGGAAAAGCTTGCTCACTCAATAATGAGTAACTGGAATAACACTTTAACCTGCACTGTACCTATCTCTATCCACCATTGGCTGTATAGTTCATCAGAAATCTCCAGTGTTTAACATCCCTGTTAAAACACTCTTCGTCCCACGTGTGTTCATCTGAACTGTATATTCATGGCAGCTGGAAGGGACAGCTCTTCCAACTTTCCACAAATCTTGGAGATACTGCACAAGAGCTGAATGAAAACCACATGCAGGAGAAATTGAGGAGAGAGCAGGAAGAAGTGAGCAAGAGACAAGACGGGGGCAGGGGGAGACAGAGACACAGAGCGACAGAGGGGGGGGAAGTGATCCGAGAGGTTATGTTGTCTTTATTCAAATAAACTAAACCATATGTGCATACGTTTGTGCGCTTGCATGGATGTGCGAAGGGACGCAGCGACACAGGGCAGCTTCACAAGCGAGCAAAGGCTCCATGCCCACAGATCGGTGTATGTTTCTTTGTGATGGTGTGTCACCAATGATTGGGGGTGATGGACTCTTCTCTTTCAACTCTAAATTAGCTGTTTTGGTTAGTGAACCAGACATGCAGATCAAAAAGGTCAGACATGCCCACTTAATCCTGGTAAATCTCCCCCTTCACATCTCGCCAGCCTGTCAGCCTCTGTGTGACAGCAACCATCACACACACACATGCCTTTGCACTGTGCGCCTCTGTGAGCTGCTCCCCCCCCCCCCGATCCCACTTCATGAACAGTTGTAGTTTTCCTTCCAGGCCGTATATTTATGTGTCCCTGTGTAGTCATTGTCAGAAGTCAAACAGTTTCATCTTTCCAAAAAACAAAAAAAACACACACAAATGTAGTGCTGGTCAGGGAGGGACACTTGATCTGCTCCGTCTACTTTTAGAAGAATGCTAAATATGGCCGCTGATGATCAGCTCTGGGCTGGACCCGTCAGCAGCAGGGGTTTAAAGACCATTGGGGTGTGTGGACATCCACATCTAAAGGAGCAGCAGCTGTCTGGACCTCTCTCAAGCTCAAGATGGAAAAAGATGAATGAAACTAATGCTAAGTTCCACTTTAGTTTATGTGCTTGGTCCAATGTCTGCCACATTAGGGTTTTGGGATGTTTTCATTTAAGCTTCAGATTGTGGACCCTGCGTTGGAGGCAACCCTTTAGCTTGACCACCATTGTGGTTATACCTGATTTCAGCAGGATATGGATTTGGGGCCGATCTCATGAGATAATCAAAAAAGAAATGACAAAAGGCATCAAGTGACCTTTTTATGTCGCCTACTCCTGCCTATCACTTTGTTTTTGGACTATAGACCTCACCCCTAGTGACATGACTTGGGTTTGTTAGAGAGCAGGCTTTTGGGTCATGTGAAACACACACCCCCTTTAGACTTTGAAGCCCCAATAAGGTACAACTGAGGTAAGATTAAATTAATGATTAAAAAAAGTGAAGGCTTGGTACCAGTTACAGTCCCTGGGGGGATCCCAGAAGGTCTCAAAGGTCCCAAAAAACAAGGAATATGATTGTCTTTGATTGTGCCTAATTTCAAGGATGAAAGAATGGCTTTTAACATTAGCATAACCATGACTATACAGTTTAAATTCGCTATTACCCTAGAAGAATTGACATCCCCTGAAGGGACAACAACGTTTAGTTTGAATGGTAAACAGGAGCCCCCTCTCACCTGTTTAAAGTCCGCCAGAAACGTGATGAGTGTCCCATCTCCCTGCTTGAATTCGAGTGATATCGAGTCCCTCTCACTGTCCGCCTCCAAAACCTCCTCGGTCACCAGTCCGTCAACGAGCCGGACTCGAACCCGCAGCTCTGAACCGAGTCCCAGCGCGACAACCAGCACCAGGGCGCAGAGGCGGGTCAGTATCCGAACTGAAGCCGCAGAGACGCAACTCGCAAACATCCCCAAAAGACGCAAAAACTAAACCCGACAGAGGGGAAAAAAATCGAGGCGAAATCCAAAGATCTGCGTTCATATCCCCTTAACTAAGATCTTGGAATTTTTCGTAAAGTCTTTTCCTTCATATTCAAAGTGGGGTTCTAGTTTATATATCGCAATTCCATATGGCCCCCCCTGTGCCCAGCACTTTCCAGAAGAACAAGCACGCTCATGGAAATCAGACGAAAACCTGGACTCAAATCTCTGCTTCTCACTTCTGGGAGCCTAACGTTAGTTCACTTCCACTCAAAGTCTCTCGCTCCGGCGTTGTTAAGATCATGCGCATTTCAGCTCCCACCCCCTGCAGCACAGCCGACAGTCCGACGATCGCACGTTGCTTCTAATTCTGCTTTGTGTTGATATTCCCGTCTCTCTCTCTCTCTCTCTCTCTCTCTCTCTCGCTCTCTTTTTCCTCACTCTGCATTTCATGCAGTCCCGTCACTTCCTATCCGTCGGTATCCCACTGCTCGCCTGGCCCCCAAACTTTCTGTTGTGTGAGTAAGTGAGTGAGTGCGGTGATGGTAGTAAACTCTTAAAGCCATACCACCCTCTGAAAACTCTGCCCATCCCCCTAAAGGCCTCATGTGATCCTACTGCAGGCCAGCAAGCAGGCTGAACTAATAATACCCCCAACAATTATAACAAAGGTGTTGTGAGGATTTGTAAATCATAGCTTGTGGCTGCTGCTCTTGTCATGTAGGGATAAATAACAAACTATAAGCTATAATACAATTTAAAATAACATTGTTGTTGAAGATATAGTAGATTTTCTCAAGTTTAACAACCCTTTTGATATCAAGATAAATATGATAAATGCAAGCAATTCATGTCATACATTTGTTTCACTATGTCATCTTAGAAAGGAACATTTTGAATGAATTATTCTGACATATCTTTGTTGCACATCAAGCATTATTGTGACTTATTTTCATCACAGATGTGTGAAATTGAGACCGTTACTGTGACAAAACTACAGTTTTCTGCCTAATTCTAATAATCTGTAACTTTAATAGGCAAATAACCAGTTTTAAGAACAAAAAATTAAGATAAAATACAATTTTCTATTTGAGCTCACTTTTATGTTTTTCAGTTGTTTTTCAAATGCATCTAATCTCCCTGACACCTTTTTTATTTATGTATTTATTTTTGTTGCAATACCCTCTGAAATAAATCAATGAGCTAATTATCACCACAACAAATGGGTGATTCACGGGTTCCAGCGAAAGGAAAAATACAGTCACTCCTTTATTCTCCTGACATCCTGTTTCATTTTACGATACCCTCAAGTCAAAGCTTGTCAAGCAGAGGTGAGCTGCCAAACAGACAAAAGCTGCCCATATGAGAGGAGCTCTCTGAGTCACATCAAATGGTAGATGATCACTGTGTTTGTGTGTGTTTTTTTTTTTGCAAAAAGATATAGTGACATCCCTGCGCTAAACCACCCGAACAGTTGCGTTGTCTCTGTTGGCTGACGCACTGCATTCTGGGTGGGCTGAGCTCCGGGCTGGTGACCCCAAATGTGGCAGGACTTGAGTGCTGCTGAAACCAAGAGGTGGATGCTCCAGTGAAGGGGAAAGCAAACAGAGAGGCTGTAAAGCAGAGCAAACATTGTCAGCTGGGCCTGGCAAACCAAACGGGGCCCTGGACCCCGATAGACAGGAGGAGTGGAGGTCAGGCAAACACACCCCATTGTGATGGAGTTGAGTCTCAGGCTACATCTTAGTTAGTGCGCTTAAATAGCTGCAGACCAAAGTTTGGGCCGAGAAAAGTCGACAGGATCGAACGTCGCTGTCGATCATCGTAGTTGCCAACTGGTACATGTTGCGCCATCCAACAATTTTGGAGCTTCATTCAAAACCATGTGCTTGCTTGTTGCACTTGCTTCACCGTGAATTTCCGTGCTGTATCCTCACACAAGATAGGGGTCCAAAGTGCAGTAGCTCTGTGAGGCTGTTTGCATGCAGTGACACACGCAGGTAGCAGAGACAGACACAAGCTACAGTGTACAGAGGGTGTTTATGATTAACTAGCAATTGTGTTGTCCACACAGTAATTATGGACACAATGAGAAGACACCACGTCAGTGCCTTTACCTCAATGGAAAACACAAGGGCAAATAAGAGAAATCTGTTTCGTTTTGTTAAGAAGAAACAAAAGGGGAAATCACACAAACACTCGAGGGAGTATATTTCTAAGATGTCTATCATTAAGCGATAATAGAATAGAATTTGAATGTCATCGTATTTCTTTCACTTTTCACGTGATTTTCTTCTTTATCCCAGTTTTGCTGTGCCCTAGAATATTCTCTTAAGTGTTCGAGCTGAAAAGCAGAGAAGCTGTTTGCATTCATAAAGGAAAAACCTGTGAAATAGACACGACGGTCTGGGTTGGTCAGTCTCTTGTAGACTCTCTGATGTGTTTGCTGTGTCATTATCTGAACACGTGTAATCTTGACGTCCTCCTAAAGTTGTGAAGTAAAGTGATTTTCTTAAAAGCAATGCATTGATTCCATAAAAGAGCAATTATCCGACAGTGTAGAAAAAGAGTTAAATGTCATTTATGTCTGTTTTACATTTGAATATGCATTTAGATTTTCTTAAAGATGACTCTCCATTACTGTAACACACTAGGCCTTTTAACATTTACAAATGAATCAGTTCATACTGTAAGAATATGATCAGATGATGTAATATTTAAGGAATGCAACATGTAGAATTGGAAAGCAGCATCAAATTAGAAGATTCATTAAAATAAACAATATTTTAGGTCATACCACAGGGTGACATGGTTGCAAAATAATCCTTAACTTCAGACATACACACAAACACACACACGCACTTTAATATTTGCTGTAAGAAATGTGAACTATTTCTACCCTTTGATGGGGGAGAATTGTGCTTATTTGTGAAGTACTCAACTTTGATTACAACCAGGGTGTTAATACTACTTAAAATGGTTGCGTTTGAGAGGAGATTTGTGCCACCCAGATAGAGCTGTTCACCAAAACAGCAATTTTTGCCAGTGAACAAAACAAAAAGCCGTTACTGCTCTGCATCTCATCAGGTTTGTCGTACTTTGGATAAGTGGAGTAGCATGCATGGATTAACAGCATATTCACACACTGGACCAATTTGCTTTCATCGTATTGAAAACTCCAGATAGAGAAAGACAATATTTGCATTGTAATTTGACCGAGCAGTAATACCCCTAATATTCGCTGAAAGGGAGTAATATCTTTCTCCATAATGGTGTGCTTGAAGAAAGTATTCAGAGGTAATCAGAAAGCTTCCAAAACCAACAAGCTGATGATGTTTCACCTCTGCACAGTGCAGAATGAGGGCAGCCAGTGGGGGGAGAGCCAGGCTCCGTGGTTGATCTAGCTGATCTCACCTCCAGACAGATGCCAGAAGTGTTTGTGTGTGCATCCGTGTGTGTGTGTGTGTGTGTGCGCGCTCTTTGAGAATGTGTACAGTATTTACATAAGGACTGCGGGAGCTGAAATCAAGCTGCTCTCCAGTTCTCTGATGATATTTTCACATCTAAGCCCCCCCTTCTTTTCCTCCCTCACTGCTTTGCCTACAGTGTGCTGGGGCAGCAGCCAGTTGCTCTCTGAGCTCCCTTCTGTAGGCTGACGGAGGAGATATCCCCTTACACATTTGGGGCTCTGGGGCCACAGTAACCCTTTTGGAGCGCAGGCTCGCATGGAGGAAAAGAGAGTATAGGGGAGAGAAGAGTTGGATGATGGTGGGGAGACTAGAGGCAAGGAGAGATTTATATAGCACCGTTCATTAAGCTTAAGAACAAATAGAGAGAGATAATACTAACACTAACAATAATAAGGAGTCTTTCACAACAACACATTTACTCCCCTACATTTACTGGCATGTAACTTGTGATCAGTTTATAAAACATAATCCACTGTTGAAGATCAATCTCCTCAACAGTATATAAGATAGTCAAAGTTAGCTCCACGTCAGCTCACTAAATTCTACTTACAACTGAATGCATCGGTATCAATAATCCAAAAATTGGCCTATATAATATGTGTTAGTACAACACACATTTTTCTGCATTACAGTTACATTACAATTTGCTAATAATACTAACAGGCTTCTTTCTACTTATGTTCTACTGATGTTGCATAATCTCAACTACTCAAAGATATGTATGCGGTCTATTGATTCTTCATTAATTGCTCACTACCTGGCATCCAGATGTTCCTGTGTCGGCACAGTTCAAAGGAAAAACAGGGTGAAGCAACAGAGGAGGGATCATTTAACCCCTGCCTCTCCAAGAAAAAGCATCACATCCCACACAATCATTTATACTATGAAAGAATTCCATGGGAATTCCTATAACGCCAATGACAGAGAGAGGGGGAAGGAATAAGTGGGAGATACAGAAGGGAGGGGGGGAGGTTCTTTTGAATTGTAAAAATAAATAAACATGTTTGTGCTTATAGCTCGGAGCATTAAACCCCACAGTGATAAGCTTTCCTGGCAGAGTCCCAGCACGAGATGAAAGACAATCCCACTTTAAGCACAGGCGTAGCAACATATCATTTATCTGGGAGGTCAAAGCTGTGCTCTAATAGCTGAGGTGGAGCTATCTCGCGCTTTATTCTAGAGAATTGATATAAAACATTTGGAGCATCTCTCGTATGCGCACTTGTAGGGATTATAGAACACAAGAAGCGTGTGTGTGTGTACACATCTGGCTACTCTTTGTGTCCTTTACGAACATGAATAAATCCGTTTTCAGGAGCCCTTAATAATGGAAATAAGATTAAATCATATTGTTGATCAAATGTGGAGTTTCAATGTAGATGATGCATGGCCAAGAATATCCTGCAACTCTCCCTCATCAGATGGCGTTGATTAATTTCTTGGTTCTAAGCACATGACTCAGAAAGCATCTGTTCAGAATACAGACGAGATCTCCTCGGTATTTAATTAATCAGACTCTTGGCCTGCTGGGGTTGTATAAATTACTGTTAATTCTCTGTGGGGGGGGGGCATTTAACAAGGTTTGCTGGGAGTCATTCAGAGGTGAATCACTCAACAAAGTTTCCTGAGCAATAAAACCTCCTTTTATACACAGTATGTGTTCATATCTCTTGTGGGAAAAACTTTGCTCTGATCATATAATGGTAGTTACAATACACAGGTTCAGCATTGTGTGCTGTTGGAGTGGAAGAGTAATGTTACCTGGAATTTTATGCTTTTACTTGCGTATTTGTTGCAGTATGAAGTTACCCCCTTATTCCCTGACTTCACATCTTTTTGCCTTGTACCTATTACGTATACTGTACTGGTACGAAACAATGGCAATTTGAATTGGGAAGAGTTATGCTGTACGTTGCGGGCTGTAATCTGAAACGTTGCCAAAATGGTACATACATCTTAACAGCAGTGCTGCTTTTCAGCCTTGAGTGATCCCGCTATAGTCCAGAAGTGAATGGCGACATCTCACACAATTATTATAACAATATCACACAAATACTGAGGCAGTATCACTTACATGTTCAAGATCTTCTCCACAAAAATAATATCGTCATTGGTTCTTCCCAATCAGGCAAGAAGGAAAAGAGTGAGGCAGCCAGTTTGAGCCAACACTGCTAACCAGCAGGACTGAACTGAACTACACTGTGGACTGTGAGTGACACAACACAACACGGGCTTAAAACCATCTCATACACCGACAGAAAACTATAATTACAGAAACCAGAGCATTTGGCTGCTGAGTGTAAGTGAGACTGCTCCCCTCGGATGCTTTCGGCCACAGCTAACATGTTTCAAGCAAAAAAAAGCTCCAAAAACTACATGTACACCACATGTCCAGCACCAAATGACAGGTAGGCAAAGTAAGCAGCTAGCTGGTGAACACAGTGAAGCATTTAACAGTTTAAGAGTCAGATAATCCCTGCAGTAGCCTAATGGATGGAGACCAAAACAGGGCTAAATTGAAAGTAAACATTGGACTTAAATTTGTCAAGTGGCATCACTTAAAGCAAAGCCTAACCCAGTCCCACTCCAGCCACATGCCATTACCCAGACTGAGCTCACCAAGGGAAGACGTTCAGGTATACTTTCTGCTTGTGGCCTTTTTTTTTTGTACACATACTCCACATGTCCATCTGTCATTGGGGCCTGCTATTCATACAGATAAGATGCCAGTGTAATTGCCATGCAGCCCGGAAGTCACGGCACGGCCGCTGATGTTCTGCCAGCACGCAATCAAGATGCCTGCTCCTGATTATCACGCTGTAAACAAACTGGTGCGGGGCCTCTCCTCCAGCACACCGCAGACCTCGTTCATCTGCTGGGATTAGCATTTTCAACTGCGAGCTGCCAGACTGGGCTCCATGAGTAACTTGACATACTGAGTAAATGTTTCTGGAACAAACAGAGCTCCATGTCTTTTGTTGAACAAAGTTGTAAATATGTATACCTCCTTGATCTGAATATATTGTTGAATCCACAGAATTCATTTGTGGTTGTCCGGTGCTCTATTTGACTGGGGGAACTGTTAATTTAACTGCCTCTCCTGTGAAAAACAGCAAACCAGTAAAATGTCTGTTTTTGGAAGGTTGTAAATTGAAAATGAGGGGAAACATTAAGACTGTCTCTGATGTGCAGAGTGTAATTAAACTAAAAAAACACTGTAGATGGTAAATATAAGATAATTGCTCCTGTTTCAACACATACAAAATGTTAAAGTGTGAAGGAATAACCACAGGGACTGTGTGTGCAATATTTTGTTGTACAAAGTTAAAGTGGAAGAAAATATGTCCCACAAGTGTCCCAACAGCCATGGCAGCTTGAGGAAAACAAATACCTTTCCATGTCCCAATGTCTGTGCTGTTTGCATGCTTTTAATATACGCCTCAAACCAGAAACAAATAAATACAAATGATAGAGCATGAATGATCTGTGCAACCATAAAGTACACAATTGGTATAAAGTTCAGCTTCTTGCATAATACTGACCAACAACAACACATTTCACGAAATTCCCAGACAAACAGAGCATCCAGGCTCAGGTATAGCTATTCTCTGACATTCATCACCAGGGCAGAAGTAACTCGTCGGGGTCTCAAGCCTGAGAAAGTCAAGGATACTAACGAAACAATAGTAAAATGCAGGAAATGAATACTTGAGCTGAGGTAGCCTCCAAGCGTACAGTTCTTTGGAAATGAGATCCTTCAATATATTTACTTTAGCGTGTGACAGTAAAACCCTACAGTCTCCTAAAAGTAGGAAATGCATTCAACATATATTTTTTCAGCACCTGGACGCACACAGTGTGTTCAGGTAAGAAATGCGGATCGTAAACAAACACCAAAATTATTTCTAAATGTTATGGCACTTTAAAGTGTATGTAGCCTTGTATTTGCCTGATAGAACTTCATGGAAACATTAAGTTTAATACTTGCTTAATCAGCATATAGTGCAGGTGTCTCAAAGCCCTTTGGCTGAGTGTGTGAGGTCTACCTTGTAAAAAAAAAAGTTTAGCTGTTAAACCAACTTGTTAGATGATTTTTACATTGATTTATTGCTAAAACTACCCCAAAACATTAAGGACATGAGAGAAGGGGGGGGGATAAAGGGACAGCCACTGCAACAGTGGATGTGTTTTCTACGAGAGAGTGAATAGAAAAACTATTTTGTTTTGGTGCTGCGATTTCCACCATCTCACACTGTTCTTTGTTTTCTTCACCACTAAGCAGTCTCTGACACAAAAATGCAGAACCAGAATTTAGGGTTAACTCTCACTTCTGACCTTTGACTTCTCACCATTCTTGTTCGGGATGTAACTGTCTTCAGTAAATCTAGCTTGAGTGCTCACAGTCCAAACAAGGAGCTGGACATTCTTGTGAATGTGGGAGTCAGGCGAATGAGACATCCCTGATGATTTTAACTGCCTTTCTCCCACAACATTGGCTTTGTCTGCATACGTGTTTGCTCACATGAAACAGGCCTGGGCTTCGCTGTTGTCTAGTCAGCAAAGAAAAGCCTGTGTGGCTTATTCATTCCCCTGACCAACGCCACTGTCTAATCTGTGGTCCGACAAAAGATAAACGGAGGGTCGCATGTGTTTACATAGACTTGGTTGAGAATCCTACAGCTTACACATTCAGTTCATTCAGATTCTTGTAAAAAAAACTGGAGCTACATAATGAAGAACAGATGCATGAACATCAAGGTAGTAAAACAGCTATGTGGTACAGTCAGACTTGAGTCATCGCCATGTGTGGCGTATTTTAACCAGTTTCACATGAAACTAGGCCATATATCATCTACGGCTTTCTGCTGCAATTTTGGAAAGCCACACACACACACACACACACACACACACACGTGCGCGTCCTTTTACCTTAACCCCTAGAAGACAGCATGCTGGGAGGAATTAGCCACAGTGCGTTCTGACATGGGAAAGTACTGAGAAAGAAAATAATAAATAGAGAATCTCATTTTCCTAGTTTTGGTCCAAAGTCTTAACTTGAAAGTTTATTTATTTTGATGAAAATTTGCAGAACACACATGAAGGTGAAATTGCTTTTCCTTTTGAATGGCAGAACAAATGAGAGAAAGGGATTGCATTTCGTCAGCACTATATCCATTATTATCACTGTAACACATGACTGCTACTGTGGCCAAGCCAAAACATATTTACAAGGCAATAACACTGCAGACACAACAGACGTGTTTCTCTCTCTGTTTCTGTCTTCTCTGTGCTGCTTTGCTTGCTGAGTGTTTTATCAATTTTGATTAATATTCCTGTATACCTCTTTCTCACCTGATCAACTGCAATAAAACTAGATGGAAGGACTTAAATGAGTTTTGTAAACTTTCTCTTGCCTGAGAATCTGAATTTGTACTGGTGCAGACATGTGATCCCGGATTTAAGTCAGTTAAAGACATAATAATGACATTTTGAATTAAAATAATTGTAGAAAATAAAGAGCTGAATAACTAAATCAATAAATTAACGGAGCTCTTTTGGACACCAGAAGAAAATAAAGGACATTTAACAAATAATGGCAATTAAAGATGCTATGTGCAGGATTTGAACATTTCTAACTTTGTAGCCCACAAGTGGTAGGGACAAAAAAAAGACCCAACGAAGCAGAGATGAATGGGAGGAAAACACTCAGACTGCACCAATTTTCACCATGCATCAATATACATGACCAGGCTCAAAGTTTGAGAAAATTCAGGATTTACTACACCTGTGTAACAACATTAAAATATGAATTCTAATACATTATGTTTTATTTCCTCAAAGTCAAACATTTTTGTTTTGATAGTATAACATTTTTTGAAGTAATGTTACTGTAATATGTAAATAAAACTGCTATCCTGACTATGAATTTGCATGAATCATAACGTCCCAAACCCCTGATCAAACGTCTACCTCCCCTTCCTTTGCACGCTAAGGTCCACTATCGTGCAAGCCCACTGAAAGAAAAACACTTGCTCATTTAACCACCATCAAGATGCATTTGACACAGACACAGTATCCACTTTCACGTCAACAAACGGGCCCATTGAAGTATTGTGGCAGTTATACATGATGGGACACCCAGCCTTTAGGCAAAGAGAATGACAAAAGGGTTTTAGATATCAGTCGATTTAATTAGCACTGATGGAAACATCTAACAGAATGACAAGTTAGCAGGCTGGGTGGATGCTCAAGTTGAGTGATTCATCTTTTGGTGAACTGAAATGTGAAGAAATTATAAGCGTTGGGGGCACTCACAAAAACATCTGCATGCTGAGAACCATGTTGTCACACTCTTAGAAAAAAGATCAAATAAAGCATTAAAAAAACCTTCGTTTTTCTTCTTTTTTATTGCTTTGAGATCATCAATTTACAAGTGGGATTGCAGCAGTATGCACACGAAAGGTCATGTTCATTCAAAAGAACCATCAGACCATCAACATGTGAATAAATAGTGATTTTAATCAATCTCAATCTCAACCATAGACTACAGGAGTGAAATTGAAGTTCATGAATTCTCCTACTTGAATTTGGAATGCACAAGCAAACCTAAATAAAAATATGCAGCACAAATAAAGTCTTTGGTGTTTCATTCATTACTCTGTATTATTAATGATTTCATCAGAGCTGTGTAGGTGGTATTCAGCGTGCGTGAGGTGAAGCCAACAGGTGAGGAAATAATCCCTCTGGAGTTATCGGCGACATATTGCTAAAAACGCATTGGTAATAAAAACACTGTGGAGCAGCTGGAGGAAAACCACCCAGATCTGATGTGGCTCGAAGGGAAGCTGTGGAGAGAGGGAGGGGCGTGGTCCGGGCTGAGATAAGTGGCACCTTTGGGTGGTACACATTGGATAACTGCTCATATTTCAACACATTTCTAGCCCTCAAGTCTAACATGCAGCAATAAAATGTATTTCAGTCAGGATGATGGAGCAGAGGAGCTGCCTGAAAATGGAATCTCTGCACGACAATTAATGATGTTAAGATCATGCAGTCTTACATGTGGGGTCGGAAGGGAGAAATAGTCTGATTGTAATGGGACACAACAGAAATAAGTATTGTTTTTACGTGAAGATGTCAATAAATAACTGAATCCAATAAGTGAAATGTGACCACAATTATCTAAATAGGCTCTTGCTGTGGTTTGTTATGGAATCAACAGCATGTGTCAATAATCTGCAGTGATATGAAAAACAATCCACACTAAAGAGTGATTGGATCTTTGTATCACATGGTCCTTATCAGCAACAATAATTTGCTTAGTTGTAATGAAGATGGATCTGTTGACAGGCAAGCATTGAGCATTTTAAAACGGATAAAAAGTGCAATGACTGGAATCATAACAGCTAATGAACTTGTATGGGAACATCCCCCATGACAACTAAACAAACTTGATGAAGATTGAGTAATACGGCTGCCAGAGATAGTTAGTTGAGATAGTTTTGTCAAACTATTTCTTAGGGCAGGAAGGAACTTTCACGTTTATCTACAGTAATAGTCAAGTCATGTGGCTACAAGGACGCAGTCAGCAGGTCACTTCTACCAAGGCCTCGCTTCATTCTATGTGATCATTATAAGTTTCATATCAGGCTTATTGTGTATTTTTTTTTAACTTTTCTCGAACAAACCTTGGTCACCATTTGTTGTTTTAAAATCTTTTCTACTAAATAAAGTGACTGAGTTAGTATGGAAACACTCTGAAGACACTCTGAAATGCGTGTTGTCTAACCTTTATCTATGAAGAGTGTGTGACAGATGGACAGACATACAAAACACAGTTTTACATCTATTGCGAGACATCAAAAACTTTTTTTACAGGACATATGTATAAAACCTTGGACCTTGTGTGGCTTTATTTTATTGAACGGTATTGATAACAGTGTTGATTAAGGTAAGAGAACACACACAGTCTTGATGGTTTAATTAACTGCTCATTGTGAGTGAACATAAAAAATAAAGGTGCGAAGCTGCATCTTTCTTTGGAAAACACTCAGTGCACCATATCAATCGAAAACATATTGCTACATTGAGGTGAAAACATCATACTTTGGTGCATTTTATTCTTCTACTCATGGAAAGTATTTTCCATGAGTCCTATTCTGCATGGAAATAAACATTTAAATAGATTTGTTTTTTGGATAAATTGTTCCTTCAAACTCTTGAGACACTGAAATACAAAAGAGTAGAGAGAACATGAAAAACATACATATACGGAGAGGTCCCTCTCTGTTACATCCAGTGTTAAAGTCTAAGTCAAAGTTCAAGATATGCAACCTTGACACCTAAATTTAGTTCAGTATGTTGCCAAGCAATCTCTTTTCTCTCCATTCTGATCCTGATCCATCTGCCATCTTCACAACGCAGCACAGAATGTCTTCACCGAGGCCTCAATCACATGTTTTAAAGTCTGTCCTGAGTTTGATCACAAAAGAAGACCCCTGCAATAAAATAAGAGTTTAGATTAGGAGGCAAAGAGACACAGCTGGATGTTAAGATAAAACTAAAACTAGGGAGAAGGGTCTAGCTGCAGAGCTCCAGGCTCGGGCCCACTTGTCCGTCAAACCATTTCCAGTTCCGAGCTTAAAGAACGGCTGATACTCATTGGAGAAGAGTTGGTAACACTGGGCTGGGTTTTTCGGTTGGATCATTTTGAAAAATTAGCGTACTCTTGCTAGTTTCTTAAGATTGCCAACCCTAGATTAAATATGTTGAAATAACTGTAACTAAAGTTAAGTTATGTAACATTAAGCTCCAAAAAACTTGCAACAACCTTAACGTTGAATGCTGAAATGATTAGGCTACATTAAGCTTTTTGTTCCCCTGTTGTTGTCCTAACGTTAACGTTAGTTTGCTAATGACATTAGCGCAGCTAAATAACATTACTGAACGCATAAGTACTGTTGTAGTGTAATATCAAGGTTTTCTTTACCTTGGTGTTATTGCTGTAGGTTTTGTGGTATGGGAGTAATGCAATGGACAAAAGAAGTACTTAAGTAAAAGTATAAATACTGCAGTAAAAAAACAAGTAATAGTCCTGAATTCAAAATGTTACTTAAGTAAAAGTACAGAAGTATCTTAAGCAATTCATCAATGTATTTGAGATGCTTTGTATTCTACTATACTAGGCTACTGCTTCATATAAAATAAGCATATTATAATGTTTTTATATTTAAAAAGTAGCGACTAACTTTATATGTCAGATAAATGAAGTGGAGTAAAAAGTACAATATTTACCTCTGAAATGTAGTGGAGTAGAAATGTAAAGTTCGAAATACTCAAAGTAAGTATGTCAAAATTATACTCAAGTAAATGTACTTACATGTTACATTCCAACACTGTACGAATGTGATATAATGTGTTAAATATATGCTCAGTAGGCTACTTTATTTCCAAACAATAAGCGCTATAAAACAATACACTGCACAATATAATACAGTGGACTGTAAACGTAATTTATTGATTTTCTAACATGGGTCCTGGCGATGGAGATGGGTCCCACCAACGGAGGTGCCCATGCCTGGAGCTCTGCAGCGGGACACTATTGAATCTAGGTTTAGAAGACAATTCACTCACAAAGAGATGTACCTAGATCAGCGCAAACCATGCCTGACCAAAGATAAAGTCTATGGGACTGAACTTGCCTTAGGAGCTAAGAGAATTGACATTCTTATGTGGAATGTCAAAAATTACTCACAGAGACTCAACAACTGGCACATTTTACAGAAAAGAGGGTTGTAGTTTAATTTAATAAGCAGAAAATGTTGTTTCTCGTCATTGTATAAAAAGAGTTAACATGGTGTTAAAAGCAAACAAAAACAAATGAGGGACAATTTCATCACTATGTTTCCAGCTGCGACGACAGCAAAATGAATGAAGTCCTATTGTGGCAGGACGTTACAGAAATCAAAGAGAATCAAAAAGACGTTTATGTTTCTTTCTTGTAAGCTGTTGATTTGGTCTTTCTTTCTCTTTTTTTTTGAAGGCCGATTGACTTCCACGTAGCCAAGACCCTAGCACTGCCTGAGAATTTCCCAAGCTGAGCCAATTTAGCTTGAGCCGACTAAATTAGATAACCCCCTTTGGTTTTCCTTTTGTGAGTAAATTGATATGAACTTTGGTGCTAAATTAAAAAGGAAAATCCAAAGCGATGAAAGTGCTGCACATTCCTAAAGGTGTGGCTTTTGTAGAGATCACTAGAGAGGAGAGTTGCTGTGCAGAGATGCCAGAGAGAGGCAGAGACAGAGTGCACTCATGAAACTAACACTAAAACACTAAAGGAGTCAGTTGCTTTTACTTACACAGATACCACAGCACTCACTCACTGCAGAGCTTACTTCTTCTTCCCGCCTAATGACATATTTTCAGTTTTTTTCTTCTGTGCCTCATTGAACAAAAGACACACCTTTATGTTAGCAAGTGGTTTAATATGTGCGTGCGTGTGTGTATGCATGTGTGTCACCCCACCCATGAAACACAAATTTCATAACTGATAATTGGTAGCTTCAGGTGAAATGCTTCGATGACGCTGTGTAGATTTATTTGGTTTTGTTCTCTACATCCCTTCCTCTCACAGTAGGAGTATTTCATTGTTTTAAGCCCTTACACTCTGCTTACTGTCAAGACTAGCAGTGTACTTTGGTATGTACACTGCCAGCCTCATCAATGCTACACAATGACATGTTTGAAACCATGCAGAAATGTCACTTTTGCCTGTGATCAATGTGTGTGTAAAAACAATTTACTTGATTTGACTTGCCTGCAACTGGTCAGAGCCAAGAAATAGTCTGGCACATAGCACACCATGAAATGATGAGGCGTTGTTTTCAACCACTGGTTTTTGTACATCTATAATGTGTTAATAGCTGAGCTTTAGAGGTGCTGTTTGGCGGATTTTGTTAACACTTCACAGAGCCCTTTTTCAGCTAAGCTAAACTAACCAGCTGCTGACAATAGCCTTATATCTAACAGCTGTCATCTAATCTGATTAGAAGAAATAAACCAAAATATTAAACTATTCCTTTAAATTATAATATTTCTCGAAAAGTTTTCACATGGTGAAGCTTCTCTTCCTAACTCCCCCTTCAGCCTACCCACTATGTTATAGAGTGTCAGGTGACTATAAACAGGTGATGTAGTTTGACATGTTTTGAAAATAGTATAGTATAACATAAAGATATGGGGGTTTGAACAAAGTTTGATTGTGCTTACAGACAGACAGATAGAATACAATAGAATAGGTTCTACCTCTGTCATGGCATCATCAATCTGTTTCAGCTCCTCATAGTGGTCACGCGAGTCTCTCAAAGGCTGAACCATGATCTCTTCAATCTGAGGAAAAAGCTGTTGGACGCCACAGTAAGAGCATTCATTAATAATCAGTGTGTGTCTTGGTAAAGGAACACATCTGTACACACACATTGTCCTACCTTCATGACAGTCTCAAACATTGGGATGAGGACAAACTTGATGAATCCGATCTGAGCGGTGGGTTTGGTGACTTTATCTCTGTCCATGAAGGGAGCCACAGGGAGACCCTCACACTTCTCCCTGTCACTCTAGCAAGGCACATAAGTAGAAATATAGTCATCTAGCTATTGCTCACAATCAACCACTATGGTCCTTCATCTTGATGGATTTAGATAATGGATTTCAGTTATGTGAATGCTTCGGTTGAGGTCACCTGCATGAAGTACTCCTCCAGCAAGCAGTCCACCCATGGCTCAGCTACCTCAGTTGGCCTCACTTCGTTGGAAATGTCACAGCACTTGATCAAAACCATCTTCAGCTGAAAACACACCCACATGTACAAACATACATACAACACAAAACACAGAATAAAGGAGCCTATACATCATCAAGACACAGACAGCATCTACTGATCACAGCACGCTCAACAGATTAAGGCCTGCTTATGTTGAGGTCTCGTATGTTCAGTACAATAAACAGCTGATGTCAAGTGGTGACGCAAAGTGATCTTGTATACATACACATGTCACATGCTCTTCATTGGCAAAATCAAAGTTGTCCACTTTTTGCTTAAAGGAGTCTAGTATCTCCCCGTGTCTGGCCATGTCGGTGGCCAGAATGAGGGTGATGATTGCCTGGAAATATAAAACCAAAAGTCAGTTTGCACGACACATTTAAGGACACATTTAAGACCAAAATTGTCTTCAGATTAACATATGTGACAAGACTATGTATGATTAAGATAAAGCTCAGCATGCTTGTCTTGAATTTACGTCCCACCTGTCGGATCTGTTTGAATGCCTCAGGATCCACATTTGCAAAAATATTGCACTCAGGAAGAGAGAGGATCTGGAAGGCCACAGCACAGTGATGGTTCTCCAGCGGAGATATGTCATTGTAGCGCACTGCCAGCTCTGTGCGGGCATTGATTTGGTACCTGGTGGGTGGATGACACGGGTGAATGGATAGATTGATAGGATATTTCAACGAAGCTTCCCTGATAAGAGAGGTCCTCGCCTGCCCAAAACTCAGACCAAAAACAACACTCTAATCTGAATCAGCCTGTTTTCATACCCGAACTCTCTTCATGCTGAACTAGTTTCACAGTACATTGACAGCAGTGTTGTGAAGCAGATGTCAAAACATACCGGGGTCAATGGGCATCTGCAGTGCTATATCTGTTAACACACCTATAGACAGAATAGTGAGTATTACGTGTTGTTGTAGCCAGGGTGGTCCAGGTCATGACACACTGCAGCTGTCATTAGAATGCCAATATCTGTGAGAGTCACCTTGTCCTGGACAACAGTGTAAATAAAAGTTATTTAGAAATCATCCCAAAAAATGGAAATTCTGGAAATTCATTGAATGGTACTTGAAACTAAATACTACTTGTAAAAAATGATGCTCAATTGTTCTTATCATGAATACACACAAATATGCACCATACCTGTAGGTTGCAGAGGTTAATCATGCCATACATCATCTGACTAACGCAAAAGCAGTGGCGAAAGTTGTGGAAAGGATTATTACGGTAGTTCTCCTGAATTGCCAACTGGAAGACAAGAGAATAAATTATTCAGCCACTGACTGCAGAATCTCAAATCAAAAGTATTTCCAGCCCCGTACGATTTTAAAATGATTTTGTTATCTGTGTAAGAATGCTGATATTACTCTTAGCAACACATCTGCCTTGTAAGTAATAGCTTGTTTGGAATCTGCACCATGTGCATGGCGGTATATATATCCATGTGCTTGGTTATCCTTTACTGCTCTAACTGTACCAGCCAGCGTTTGAGTGTGATGGGGTTCATGTTGAATTCCTTCACCAGTCCCAAGTCATGGTACATATACTCCAAACAACTTAGCATCTGCAGCCACAAAGGAAGAGAAAAGACATTCAGACATCAGTCACTTGGACAACATGGAATGGAAATGTCTGATAGAGTTATGGAGCGGCAGTGTCAACAAACCTCGTTATGTTCCCAGTGCCAGACATCGAATGTTGGCTTCTTGAGTGCCTCAATAGTCTCCTGAGACAGTGTGTACTGTATATGCCAAATAAACAAGTCCATCAGAACTTCAAATGAGGCTGTAACTATTCATGAAGTTAGCTTGTTCTAATAGTATTTAAAGTAGTCGTCCCAGTGGACATACTTTGGGGTAATTGGGGACATCTCGTCTAGGAGTTACCTTCTTCCCATCGTCAAAGTTGTATTTACATGGACAGTTTACTCTGAAAGAAATCCCCAAAAGGTAATTTGACGTGATTTGGTTTCTGTTGACACCTGTAAAATGTAATGTCTAACTTCGTATTCATTTCACCTGCCACCACCTCTTGAAGTCATCTCATCTCGTAGCTTTTTCAGATCATTTTTACACTTCTCAATCTCCACCACCTTCAAGCCCTCCACTGAAACAAGATGACAGGAAATATTGCAGTTGTATCTCGATTTTTACTCACATCTCAGTATTGTATTAGAGGGGGATTTTCTGGGGGATCATTTCATTCAACTGTCTACTCTAAAATGTACCACTCACGTTCCACTCTCTTCTCCAGCATTGCTAGCCTGTTGGTGACCTCGGTCTTCAACTCGTTAATGCGAAAGGCTCTGTGGGGCAAAAGAATAGAAAATGATGAGAGGCTGAAACACGTTTCACATGGTTCATTGATCATGGCGACAAAATTAAACTGGAATGGGCCCTTCAAAATAAATGACAGAGGTGAAAGAACTTGGCTGATTAAACTAGGCTCCATAGGCTGAAGCTTGTGCTTATCATTGAAAGTTACTGGTGTCAGGTATGTGTGCGAGGTATGTGTGAAGGTGGGGAAGGGAAGGCTTCAGCCACAACATAACATGAACAACTGAGGCGTTACCTGCTGAACTGATCAGCCACCTGGGACAACACGTTCTGAAACATGTCCTCCTTCTCTGCGGACATAAATACACTCCTGATAAATCATCTTGAAAGCTACCACGTTGTCAAGATTGGTATTTTCAAGTTTATTATTACTTTCACAGTGGATGTGTTGTTGATGCATGAATGTATTTGTGAAAGGAAAATAGACCTGTTGTAGCTGTACCTCCAATTTGACCAGTAGACAGAGGGACAACTTTGTACAGAGAGCTGTGAGGAAATAAGAGGATCAATTATTATTCCTAAATCTTGACATCAGTTTAACAATCTCTTTATATTATTTTTCTTTTGCAAAGATTTACAGTTGATGGAGCAATTTCAGCACAAGGTTAATTAAGTTAGCGGTTGGTTGTGGTTGGAAGTTTGAAAAAAAGGCCCTGAATTGGGGTGGGGATTCAGAAAAAGATGACATAAGTGAAATGTAAATCTGAGATTTCTATACAAATACAATATGATAATGCTGGTATGTTACTTTGAAGAGTTGGTGGGCATGGTGGGATCTATGGAGACCAAGGCTCCATCTGGGTCCATCAACATGATGGCAGTGTTCCTGCGGTGAGAGGATTAGAGGAACAGTGACAAAAACAGAAGTGCGCTGTGTTTTATTCACTCCCCTTAATATTTCACACTGTTTCATAACTATAAAGTCTTTTGAACATTTTTATTTTTTTAAAGCAGTGCTAAACATCAGATTAGAGATGAACAGAAATGATCCACATGCATTATATAAAAGTTTTTAGAAAATACACAAAACTAAATTTCTTCATTGTGTCAAGAATATATAATCTCCTCTATTACAAAGTAGAGTAGAGAATGAAAGAGGATAACTACGTATTAAAACTTTATTTTCCTCATTAAAGGCACACAACTGAAGTATAGGTGATGATGATGATCTTGCTTTAATCATGTATTATTGTCTGCTTTTATGTGCATGGCTAATGTGATATGTCTGTCTGTTAGCTGCAAGTGCTCGTTGTATGTTAGTGGCTGTTTTGCTGCATAATAATCTTATGTTTTGTGATATTTTTGTGCAGTTTCATGGGAAATATCTAAGGTTTTCAAGTATGCCCAGAGACACAGATAGGGAGGGATGTGATGTAAATAATTAAAATAACTAATCAAAACAACAAACCTGGGAATGTTAGATGAGGAACACAAAAGCTCCTTGATGTCACATGGGCTGCAGTGCCCACTGAACACCACCTGTGAGGTAAACACATTTTGTATAAATTCAATACATAATGGAAATGATGGGAGAAGGCTGTTGCATTGGATCAACTTCGTAGTATGTGCTACTTATCATCATGTCACATCATATTACAAAACCTCTTCTGCCGTGCACAAACCCAGCACAGTGTGTCTATGGTTTTTTGGCACACCTGCGTACAAGCTGCTGCTGTGGTTTTCATATAAGGCCTCAGTGTTCGTACAGGGTGGGAAGGTTATCAAATTTCATGTGTTTTTCAGACAACAGAATCACACGGGAATGTAAAATAAGGCTCTACTCGTTTCATGGTTGAATAAGGTCAAGTCACCAGGGAGACCCATAAGGACAGCTGGAGTGTGAGTGTTCATGGAGCTGTAGAAGTTAGCCACATTCCTGAGCTTGAACCTGTCCAGTTTACAGGACATTGTAGTACATGCATAGAGATTATAAAATGTAAAAAAAGTCTAAAAGGTTGATAGCATGGGCGCATAAACCCTGTGCAAAAACTGTGATCTACATCTTGAAGGGAGCAGGTGCAGCAGACAAACATTCAGCCTCAGGCCGTGGGCTCGGGCTCTTGAACAGACATGTGTCATCGGCAGCTCTCTGCTTGAAGCACTCTACATCGCCAGATCTGAGCATGTTTGGAACGCTGCATCTCAAGCGTCAAACCATTTCTCACGACTGTTTAAATGGTCAATAAGCTGTTGCTCCACTGTCGTTATGACACAAAAATGAAATTGCATGAGACATTTTTTTCTTTTATGCTAGCCCTTAGCTTAATTGCTGCTTCAAAACAAATAAGGATGAAATTGATAAAAATCCATATTTTCAATCATATACAACAGAGCTGAAAGCTGGCAGAAATGAATGTTGGTGTGTAAGCCGTTAACAACGGGTGTTTGCTTCTGTCAGTAACACCGGTAAGGCCACATGCTCTGCATCATCGTCTAATCTCCTCTTCAGCAGAGGTTAGCCACTGGGAATACTTGCTATGTGAGTCAAGATGGCAAATTAAGAAATACATTTTTAAATGCCATAATTCATGTTGTGTAGTCCCAGCCGCATGCATTTAAACATATTTTGGATTGTATTGCCGAAACAATTCATACAACATTAATTCCCCTTGATTGATTGAAATTGACATTAGTTAGATACCTAATTAACCATTATTTTATGTGTATACTGTAGAAATAGTTTTGCAACAACCTCTACAGTGATATTTTAAAATCTATTTACACATAAAGATTATTAAATCTTTATGTGTTTCCATTTATTTCCAATCCCATGAAATATATTTGCAGGCAAAAAAAAGGATAATCTTTCAAAAAAAAGCCTAAACATATAGTCCAAAACCAGCCCATTTCACACAGCAGAAAAATACATTTCCAAAATGGGTTTAGTCACATTATATCAATAATAAACAGGGAAAAAAAGATATTAGAAATTCAGCATTTCCATCTGAATTGGACCCACCTTTTGCACTTTCCCTTCCACATCCAGGTAAATGGTTTTAGGGGTATAGGAGGAGGAGCTGGAGCCCATGTTGACCTCCCTCTCCTCTCTTACACACCTGCAAAGATTCTGGCTCAAAGACCTGATCAACAAACCTGATGAGCCAATAGAAAAACAAATAAACGGAGAACGCATATTTCTTTTTAGTACTTTCATAGATACAGCTGAGTGTACAATAATACCTGATAAAAACACTAAGTCATGATGACAAAACATCAGCAACAGGGGAGCATGCTTTCTGTCAACAAATTTGAAAAAAACATAATAATCAAGATTTTGCTGTTGCCAATCTCCAGTTTAATATAAATAATAAACAAATACAAAATATAGAGGAATGCAAAGACAAAACATTACCATGGAAATATATAAAACATGACGAATAAAATTGCCATTTGCATTTCGTTTTTTTCATAATTCACAGCCGGTTTTCACATTGCAATCAAATATTGAAACTTTTTTTTTCAATGAAAAACAATAAAAAAGTTTGAGAATATCACAGTCAGATTAATTGAAAATAGCAACAGCACTCACAGTGTCAGCGATGCAGCTTCCCCTGTGGAGACTGAGGTGCTGAGGATGCAGCTGATTCACATACAGACACACAAATACACACAAAGGGAGAGCTATGGGGAGGAGAGAGAGAGGAGGTGAGTGATGGAGAAGGCGAGGAAGGGTGTGTGTGAGGGAGCCAGAGAGGTATGGAGTACTATGAGTATAACTGGCACTCTAACTGGTTGCCAGGGTACAGTTACTATAGAGAAAAAAGACAACCCTAATGTCTCACGTGATGCAGGGCTTTCACCTGCGCTGGTCACACACGTCTTATCCACATGATTCACTGTATCACAAAGAAACACATAAGTATTATGGCTTTATCCAAGACTGAACAGCTATCTGATTAAAACCTAGCAAGATAATTACATTATATATTTATTCTTTTGAAAACAGAAATTGTTAATAGCCTAAACGGGACACAGTGAAGGCGCAAAACACAGATTAGTGCAGTCAGCGATACATGGAAAATGATATTTCATCATGGGGACTCACTTCTAACCGAAGTGAGTTAATTTCAAGTGAGGCTTTCCTCTTTCTCTCAGTCACCGAGTTGCATGCATGTGTAATTGTACATATGTGTGAATGTGCTTTATCTTCAGTACCTCTGCCAAGAAGGTTATGTTTTTGGTTCAGTTTTTTGGTTTGTTTGTGAGCAGGATTATGAAAAAACAACTGCCCTGATTTTCATGAAACTAGGTGTAAGGGTGTAGCATGAGCCAAGGAATAACCCATTAAATGTTGGTGTGGATCAGCCTTGGTGGAGGTCTATGCTCTCTGAGCGCCCTTCTAGTTTTGTATTTATTTCAGTTTATTTTCTATTTGTGCGTGTGTGTGTGTGTGTGTGTTACACTCCCCAGACCACTCATCTCCTCCATTGTTGACCGCTCCAGGTCCAGCAGATGGTTTTGTCAGATGAGTTCAGCAGAACACTTGAGAAGATTTTATTTTTAGCAACAATTTCTAAATGGTCATGTAGAGGATACAATAACTTTCATTTTATGCGATGTCATGACACTGTCTTTGGACTATCAAGTTAGATATGGAAAATGTTTATTATGAGGAATAAAAGGAAAGACACCTCAGGATGAGCAACAGAGGAGGGATCCCTTAACAGCAATTATGGAAGAAGTATTTAGATAAGTAAAGTATTAGTACATTCATGTAAAAAAGCCTGCATTCAAAATCTTACGAAGCAGAAGTACCATGAGCTAAATGTACTTAAAGTATCAGAAGGAAAACACTTATTATGCAGTAAAATGGCGCATGTAACTAAATGGCATTATATATTACAATAATAATGAATGCTGATAATACTTACGTATCAGTGTATAAGGGGCATGTTGGTTGGCTACACTATAAAATCCTAATACCTAGCTTTCTTAAATGATATTCGTGTACTTTACTTATTTCTTACTATCCTGTTGACAGAACTCATGTTAAGTGAGTAAATTACTTGTTTTGCCAGGTTGGAACCAGGGTAAGCATTTCTTTTCTTTTCATTTAATCTTGTGAAAGCCGGCCTTATGTTAGGTAAAGCTAACCAGCTGCTTTCTTTGGCCTCATAATACCGTACAGACATGAAAGTGATATTATAATCACTATTCAACTCCTATTCTAGCTCAACAAGACAGCGAATACGTTTCCCAATATGTCATACTATTACAATGAATTAATTCATTTTGAAAAATGCGATACAGTTTAAAATAAAAGTACTTTCCCTCAGTTTTACTGTTTTTCCCCACTGGTAGACCCATAATGTGAGAGTCATGAAGACTGCTGCCTCCTTGTTTTCCTTGGGGATGATGAGTGATTTCTAGAGTATTGCATCATTTGGTATCTTGAAGTTTTTGCATTGTGACAACCTCAGTTTTTAACCTTTGTGTATACCCGCAGGATTTGGATGCCATCACAGCTTGCACACAGGTTTTTGTTGTGACATTGACCGTTATACCTGAAGACAGCCAGCAGCCAGGTCCAGATATCCCGCACCTTGAACGATCCAGCATTGGTATCATACTGGAAGGTAATGTTGTCATGGATAAAATTGAGAGCAACGCTAAACCTATTTTCCTTATATTTGGACTTGATTAAAGATTATTTGAAAAGTGGATTTGTTTTTGTTACCTTGGCTTAAGATGTTTAGAATGGCATTTTGCTAAATTAAAAGAGAATCCTTTGAACTAATCATTCTTTGTTGTGCTTAGTTAATTTATCGAAGGAATTCTGTTTCCTTTTTCTACTGAGTAAACACAACTGTTCAGTTGAGTCAGACTCAATTGTTTTACATAAGTTGGTAACACTCAGAAGGAACAAGTATATTTCACTTGATATTGTTCGGTAGGAATAACTTCACAAAATTAAGTAAATACAACTAAATGTAAGTAAACTTAACAAGTACATGTAAAGTAAACATAACTTAATACTAATTGTTGTATTTACTTACCTTTTTCAAGGTAATCGGTAATCCTAGATTTATTTAAGTAGGATCAACTTTTCCAGTATAGTTTTAAACACACTGTAAACAAAAAGACAGGCATTTTAATCCTGTGGTTCTCAACCTAGGGGTCCACCCCCCTTCAAGATGAATCTTAGGCGTTGTGAGATAATTAATCAGGTAGAAAAGAAGAATAAACTATGTCCAACACTAATTTGAATTTATTCTTTGGATGATTTGTAAAATATTGGAAAAGTTGACATATTTGAGCCTAAAAAGACAAAAAGAAATGTGAACCAAGGGTTTAATATTGAACAATGCATTGCATTTTATATACTTATACATTTTAGCATTTTAAAATCTGAAAAGTCGCAACGATAACTGAAATAAATACAGTAGAGTAAAAAGTGCAATAGCTGCCTCTGAAATGTAGCAGAGCTTAACATGGAAATACTCAAGTTAAGAGCAAGTAACTCAAATGTGTTTAAGCACAGTACTGCAGTTAATGTACGTACTGTTAGTTTTCACCACTGCATGACAGACAAACATATGAGTGGTATCTTCAGAGTAGACATACGTTGTAATTATTTTTAATGTTGGAAAACAGAACGACAATATCAAGAAAACATTAAGTGTTATTTGAATTCTGAGCAAAATGTGACAATGAGTAAACTGTGAGAAGACGCTGGTAGGACTCTCTTCTCCTTTTCTTTTTTATCCATTGACCAATGAAGATCCTGTGATCTACAAGGGGACTACCTCTTGTTACCTACTGCAAGTCCTGACCTATGCAACAATAGTCCCCCTGGGGATTTCACATCAACAGGCTGGTGTGAACTAGGACATTAGTGACAAGACTCGACCAGGCAGTAGGAGGAGGTAATTAATTACAGATAGAGAGCATCAACATAATCTCTGTTCATCTCATTAGACACCTACTCCCCACACACTTGCAGATGGTCAGAGACATGCACAACGGACTGCATGCATACAGGTGTGATCCTGTTCCGCAGAGTCTAATTACTATCTGGGCTTACAAGCTCCTCTGCCACGCTGGAGGAGAGGTGTGACATGATGGAAAAGACTGTATAACTAATAAACATGTGACATCAAAATAGATGAAAAGCAATTTCCAAACGCATTTCATTTTCCACCTACTGTAAGCCATGAATGATTATGCACGTTTGTTTGCTTGCTCATCTGTGCTCACGTGTGCCTGTGATGCTGTATGTGTATTCATGAGTCTGTGTACCAGGGAATAAATAGTGTTTGAAATAGAACAAAGACAGCAAAGCCCGGATCAAAACAGGCGGATCTGATTTGCTTATGTAATCACAAGACTCATCACACCTTCGGTAGGGGAAGATACATTTCAGGATAAAAGCAATTCATAAAATCATGCAGATCTTCATGACAAAAGATGTCCAGATGGACCTCTGAAAGGAACACATTATCCTGATAATAGTGATGGACCAGGCCATGGTGTGTGTGTGCGTGTGTGTGTGTGTTTGTTTGTTTTTGCATGTTTGTACACCCTTTTATAACCGTTCAGCACATCTTTTAACCTTTTTGGTCTTTATATTTCATGCTCCCTGTGTGTTTTTGTGGAATGGAAAAAAACAAAAAACATGAACTATACTGAGGATAAAAAATAAACCCCATATTAAATCATGAATCGATCTTGTGTATGGATACAATTGTCATATACTGTAAAGCCATTTGTTTATTCCAAGGAGTCCATAATCAAGAAGAGTCTATTTATAGGAATCAATTGCAGGCTGCATGATTGCGTTACCTGCATTGAGATTTACTGTTAATATGAACTGACTACACATGATTCACTTAAAGCCTCCCCTTGAAGTTAATCATACTCATTTTTTTTTGTTTATGATTTAGGTAGAACTGTGGGTTCAAGCACAGCTTGATCCTCATTGCCCTTGTCATGTTAAGTATTGGAAGATTAAGAGGCGCTTTCTCATAGTCAACCAGTTGCTCATGGATGATGTCTTTAAGTAAAGCAAAAGGACAAAACAGTGGTAACACATCAAAAGCATTCAACTAAACTTTGCACAATATACTCCAAAATGCCATATGTCAACTGCAACGTTTTGTAGATTAAAAGTGGTAAAGTAAAATATATTTTCCAATAATTCTCCCCCTGACGCGTGTGCATTTAAAGCAATGTGTGGGTGACACCTAATGGACTAGAAAGGAATGACGTGTATACTCAAGAATTGCAGAATATATTCAGCTCCCTCACAAAGACAAAGGAAGGTAAAGCATTTCAATATTACTGGGACACTGATAAAACACAATAAAATAATACTGTAGAAAATCCATCAATAATATCCTAAAATGCGTGTCTTTTAGCAGAGTTGTGGTGGAGAGTTTTACAGAATTCATAACAAACTACAAACTGTTTAAACTGTTTTTATTACCTTAGGTTATACAATGACCTAATCTTTAATAAGAATACACTTCGCAGTTTAATTGTTCAAAAAACAACAACCACACCCTACTCAAAACTATTAACTTACATATGTACAGGTACTTATCAAAAGTTCCCAGGAAAATTCATATTCATCAAGAAACAAAATATATACCAGAGCTGGATTTCTTTTTACTGTCAGAGCATTCTATACATGATATACTAATATGCCGGTGGACAGAATATACTTTTTTTCTTGTGACAGGATATTATCAAAAGACTACAGAAATATTGTGCATAGCCAGAGAGAAATAGATGATCAATAATGGCATATGAAGTCAAAGAGTTAGCTGAAAGTGAACTCATCTCTTATCCTATACTGCATCAAATCCATTATCCTGGTGGCACGGTGCAACAGAAGATCAACAAACTACACATACACTTTACACATCACAGTGTGAAAACATACACCAAAAGCAGCTGTCACTGCTGTGATAGACAGTGAGTCTGATCACAAGGGTCTGGACACTCGGCCTCTACAGGCAGGTGGCTGCTTGGGATGCCTACTGGTGGACGGACTTTTCTTATCGGGCTGAAACTTCGTGGAGATGAACCAGGGGAGTGAGCAGGTGAGCGGACAGGGCGTAGCGGAGGACCCGGAAGGGGTTGTGGGAGAGGCTGTGCCAGTGGAGAGGGGCTGCGGGGGTATCTGCGTGGGGCAGACCAGACGGGCCGCTCAGTTCTGTTGGAGGAGGAAGGACTAGGAAGGACTGGAGCATACATAGCAGGGATACTCATTTCTGATTGGACGGCCGCATTGCTCGTACAGTCTTCCAAACGCTCCAGAGTCTCCTGAAAGAAGATGAAGAAGAGTTACAATGCCCATCAGCTGTGATTATCATTTTAATGAAGCCATAATTTGTAAATCAACTGACGGGTGGCAATGTTGGTCTGTCTGTCGATTCAACAGGTCCATAAAAATCCTGAAATACCAACGAATTGATCAATTGCCATGCAACTTTGTAGACAGACATTCATGTCCCAAGGAAAATGAATCATAATGACTTTGGTAATATCCTGACCTTACCTCTAGCACCACCGGCAGCCAGCAGGTTGACATTTCTGGCATTTAGCTCAAAGAACCACTGTGCGTAAGTACAGCCTTACAGAGCCGCTAGCATGGCTGTAGACTCTTGTTTCATTGTAAGGCTGTCAATGACATAACAGATTCTGAATGGCTTGCTTTTTTAAATAAAAGAGTGACTTACATCTTCGTTGAGAACATAAAGAGGCATGGGACTCCTTCGACCAAGTGTAGTTGGTTTGGGAACGACATCAACTGCAAAACATTGTATATGTATTTTAGTATTGACTTTCTGCCAACAAGCTAACTTCCTACTGTGTAAAATCATTGTGTCATCGCGAGTTTTAAAGGTGAGTTACCATATAATAACAAATCTAAAGGTGTTTTACACATTTAAAGGAGATGATTAAATGTATTTGTTGCTCACCATCATGGCCATTTTCACTCTGCTCCAAATAGATTGGAGCTCTTTGGGGGACAGGTCGATGCTTCTTTCTACAGCAGGAAAAAAAAACACATACAATCCTTGCTGCTAAATGGCAGTTACAAGCTACGGGTCGATGTGCTTATTACTTTTTCACAAAATGTTTAGAATGTAATGAAACTGTTGAGCTGTACTTGAGATTCTAGGCACACCCTCAAGTTCAATATCAAAGGCAATGAGAGAGAGAGAGAGAGAGAGAGAGAGAGAGAGAGAGAGAGGGGGGGGGGGGGGG